ATTGTGAGGAATTTATTCTTTTTTTAATCATATTGTTTTTAAAAATAGAGAGCACTATTGTTTTGCCTCTTTTTTTCCTTTTGAGCTTTGCGGTTGTGTATCCAGTTTAGGAAATCTACATTATAGCTATTAGGGGTTCAATACCACTAAACGCTGCACATACTAGAACTCGTAATAGCTCAATGGAATGAGAGTAAATCATCATTATTTATTTTATGTATTTGTTATACTGCACCATTGGATCCCTAGTGTGTTATATTTTACATATCCATACGGACTTAGTTAAGACACCAGATTGTCTCATTTTACAGGTATAACTGTCAACTTGGGAACTCCTGTAGTATATTGGTCCACTACCAACGGTATTATATTTTATTTAAAAGACCATAATTGCTCCAAAGACTTTGGACAGTTTACATTTGTTTTTATTTTATTCATGTTTTTTGATATTTTTTTCTTTTAACACTAATTTTTTTATTTATTTTTTATCAATTATTTTGGTGCAGCCCTTTTCTCGTCTTTATGGTAGCTGTTTATATGTAAAGGGTTTAAGAGGGGTCCCCTCTTGACCTGTGCCCTCTCCTCACCATTGTTTTTATGTCTGGTTAGCTCCCTTAGTAATTAAATAGTTACCTCAATACAAAAAAAGAAAGAAACAGAATCTTGGCGTATCTACTAATTCGATGTGCTTGGCATGCCTTTGACAACTGTATAAATTGTATTTTAATTTTTATGTGTTGTTTTTGACTTTATGATTGTGTCTATCCACCACCATGCAATGCTGAATATAGCAATCCACGGTGCTAGGTATTTTGGGATGTCACACAAGGCTTTATGGGACCACTTGGAGCATGAGCATCTTACAGCGGAATCATTGATCCACAGGTCAGTTCAGTAGAACAGGTATGTTTCACTAGCACACTATATCAGTTAAGTTGTATAAATTGTGTACGATAGATTCTAACATTTCACACTGTAAACAGATGTAACAGAAAATTCCAATGATCTGCAGTAATTTTTTGGATTAATACAGAATGTCTTTGATTGCACAGCGTGGTATAAAATATAATGTAAGCTAGGTGAAGGAAACACATCCTAAACACATCTTCTGAAACTGCCTCAATTATTGCAATACAATTGTTTCACGAGACTAATTGTAACCCTGTGGCTTCTTGAAAGATAAAACAATTAAAGTCACCGGTAGAATCACTTAGCAGTGGGATTTGCATAACACGCTGTATTATAAATGCGTATTGTGTACTGAGATTCTTGCTACTAGCCCTGAAAATGAACCTGCCACCAAATCACTGTCACAGAACATTTGAGATTTTTAATAAGGATCTATTTTGTATTAATAGAGTGGTTGGTGTTACAGCCTCTATGATAGACCTTGGCCAGGGGGCATATCTCAATTGAGGTGTGGTAGGCACCAATCAAATTATAAAATCTAGGTACAAATGACCAAGTTGGAAAAAATCTTCAGGTCAATAAAGTCTATTTTCTTATAATATAGCGTGGTGTGACATCTATAACAAAATAGTGTTCTTTAAATTCATATCAAGTATTCATACAGTCAAAGGGTAAACTCTTTACCCCTTAGTGATGTCTTTGTTATGTTCCTGCCTTGCACATAAAAAACATATACATATATATATATATATATATATACACACATATACATACACACACACACACACGTTCGTAAATATTTGGACACTGACACAATTGTCATAATGTTGGCTCTGTATGCCACCACAATCGATTTGATATGAAACAACCAAGATGCAATTGAAGTGCAGACCTTCAGCATTAATTCCAGGAATTGAACAAAAATATTGTATGAACAATTTAGGAATTGCAACCATTTTCATACAGTCCCCTTATTTCAGGAGCTCAAATGTAATTTGATAAATGAACACAATCAAAAATAAAGTGTTATTTTTTAATACTGTGTCAAGAATCCTTTGCAATGACTGCTTGAATTCTGGAATGCATGGGCATCACCAAGTGCTAGGCTTCCTCCTTTGTGCTTTGCCAGGCTATTACTGCAGCTGTCTTCAGTTGTTTATTTGCAGTCTTTCTGCCTTAAGTTTTGTCTTCAGCAGGTGAAATACATGCTCCATTGAGTTGAGATCAGGTGATTAACTCAGCCATTGCAGAATATTCCACATCTTTGCCTTAAAAAATTCCTTAAGTTGCTTTGCTGAATTTGGCTAAATCTGGGCAGACAATATATCCCTATACACTTCAGAATTCATCCAACTGCTTCTGTCTTCTGTCCCATCATCAATAAACACTAGTAACCAAGTGCCATTTGTAACAGATCACCTGGCACCCCGACTGGGTACCTCCATTGAAGGATGCTCCTAGCACTTCCTGAGGGCTCCAAGCACTCCAGCAGACACCATAACCACCGCAGACCCCACGGACCGCCTCAGCTTGGTTGGGGTCTTGTTGTCTCCTTCCCACCCAGGACCTCCGACAAGGCTCCAGGTTCCAGTGGGTGAACCTCTCTTCCAAGAGAGCAAAGCAGGAAAAAGCTCTTACAAGAGCTTAGTAGTGATTAGCCAAGGGAGCATGCAGAGCATAGCAATCCCTTGTAGTGATATAGCAATTCCCCCAATAAGAGACAGGACTCTAGATTGAAGGTCAAGAAGATCTGAAGGTTTAATGGCAGGTACTCTCTTTTTATGCAGTTCTCCCATGCAAGGGAGATGCCCACACACAATTATACATTAGCCAATCAAACAATGGTTACAACCAACATATTCCCTCCCCTCTGCTTGGGAAATAATTGAGTTACTTACTGTAGCTACTCAATTATTTCCAAGCTACAAAATCATACTTTTTATACATTTTTATAACTCTATGATTTTACATCCAATATGAATAAAACTTATATTTTTATAAACAGTATAACTTGGGGACAAACATATCCAAAATTCACTTGAATCGGTTAAGTGGTTAAAAAGTTAGGTGGGAGTCCCTTTTTGACTGACCGCACGCACATTTTCATGCCTAAAACAGTTCCATAGATTTGGGCTGTGCGGTCGGTCTATTTTATGCAGAAAAATGACTAAGTCCTATTCGCATGCACGAACGTGGCACCATTCGTGCAAGTAGCTTAGTCTCACTGTGTGTTTAAATCACTGAACGGGACTTAGCTGCTGCAGCCGACAACTGAGTAGAGGAGAAAGTAAGGGTCAGCGGTGTTCGTGCAAATGTGAAGCCGATTACAGTTCCATGGATTTGGCTGCACACACTGCTGACCATGTTCGACTAACAAAGATGGCCGCCGCCACGTGTTTGACTATATGAACGGCGGCCACCCAGTGGTCGGCAATTAACATTGCGGTTAACCACCAGCTTGGGAGATAAATTGACTGCACAATTCTACTTCTGTGCGGACCGCCTGTGCAGTAAATGGGGCATACCGAACTATAAGGGAAAAAGACATGTACAAGTTCCAATAAGTCTCAGAAGCCCAAATACAGTTCTTAAAGGGCCATACACAGTCCAAAAAAAGTCCATAAGCCCAGGGCCAGATTAAGAGCCCAGTGGGCCTGGTGCTGACAATTATGAGGGGCCTAAGTACAGAATCTTATTGACCAAAAACACTGAAACAGACATACCTCTCAAGCATTATGTATCTGGTGGAGATGTTGCCGGAGGGAAACTCATAGGATGCAGCTAAAAAAAAACTCAGATTCTCTTAAAATATGCTAATCTCTCTCTAAATTATGCTTTCATCTTTCAAGTAAATCCATACTCCCTAACAGCAGTGTCCAGTGAAGCAGTAAGTCAATGGACAGTGTAAAAGGGTGGGCCAGCGACGCGGATCATGTAACCATAACTTCCGAAAGGGCCGAACATGCCCAAAAAGTAGGTGTGTCTGCCCAAAGAATTGGAAGGCTAGTCAAGCATTAATGCATGTCAGGCTGCCTGCCAATCATGCATGCTGGCCAACAGCTTCCTGAGCTTGGCATAAATGCATCTAATGATGCACTAGCTCTAGGCTTTCTAAGCTCTATGCAGGTCCACTTCTATCCTAACCTACTTACTAGAAGGAAGAAGCTCCTGGTATACAGTCTGAGACAGAGAAAAGGTGGATGTAGTGAGTGTAAAAGAAAGGGAACATGGCACAGTGTTAGAGAGACCAGTGTCAGCATTACCTTAACTAATTTCATTTCAGCTGGTCCACACAAGTTTTGTTCCTCTATATCCCTCCTAAGTTTCCATACTTAAGCAAGAGTATGTGAAGAGTAATCAGGGTTGCCACCTTTCTTGGAAAAAAATTACAGGCCTTACAAATTTGCATAACTAATTATGTATGTGTGACATCACATGATGTAAATCACAAGGAGTGACAGAGAAAATTCTGTGAAATGACCAAAAAACTACTTAGTTTGATTCTGCTGTATAGATGGATTGCTCCCAGTGGCTCCCTGTCTCCCAGTGTCCCCATGTCGCCCAGTGTCCCCTAGTGTATGTGTGCCCATGTCTCCCAGTGTCCCCATGTCACAAGGGGACACTGTGAGACATGGGGACACTGAGACTATGCATCACAATGTCTCTATATCCCCATGTCTCTGTGTGTCAGGATCTTACCTGATGGGGAGTCCAGCTCGCAGAGTTATACGCTCACCCTTGCAAAGTAGACACAGACCAGGGTGACCAGGTAAGACGCCACCTGGCCTGTGAGTCTATGCACGGGGGCTTTCCAGGAAAAGTGCTCCAAGACTCAGTACAGCAGGGATAAGCAGAAGCGTGGTCAAGGGAAGCCAAAATCAGGGAAGCCAGAGGTCAGAGTAGTCCAGGAGGAAAGCCAAGGTCAGAAGCCGGAATTAGACAAGAATCACTGGAACGCAGGTACAGAGTAACAGGAACCAAACAAGGGAACCAGAGTCAATGAACTGACACCCCTCCCAGGGTGAGGCAGGCTTTTATATCCTGTTAATTAGGTATCAGATTCAGCTGGAGAGTTACTGACAGATCTGAGCCTTTGGTGAAGTCCAGCCCCCTAGTGCTGCAGGCAATACAAGAATAAACAGGAGTTATCCAAAGTCCTGAAATGGCTCAGAGGGAAAATAGCAGGATACGGTCCAGAAGAACCACAGTTCAAATCCCCTATCGGGCGCTTCCGGAGCGACCACGTCTGGCAGACTGGATGTCACGGCGTGAACCGTGACAGTACCCCCCCGTCAAGAACGCCCTCCGGGCGTGAACAGGCTCTTCCTGGAAATGGTACTCCTCATCTTCGGTATCAGTATCACTAAGATAGTCTTTATAATTAAGGTATCCTTTTACGACCTGGGATTTTATGGTACCAGTTTCGGGTGTTATAGGGGAGGTATTTGCAGCTTTCAAAGCTTTTTCGAATACTTCTAGATCCTGTTTGCACACTACTGTGCCATTTGAGGCATAGGTGCAGTCAGGAGGCAGAACTGTTTTGGCAAGGCAGGAAGTGGTGATGGTGCTTGCTTGAACAGAAGTGTCATCATGAAGAGGTCCAAATGTTTCTAGAGCAGGAGGTGAAGTTTCCACAGAGGTACTGGTAACATTAACGGTATTAGTTTGGGTACCCTTTTGTGTCACAGGACGGGGACAGGGCTGGCAATGTCCAGGCTGTCTTGCTGGGATGACAGGGTAAGTCCATATGGCACCAGACAGAAGGGGTCTTGGCCTAGGTGGACGAGTCGGGCAGAGCGATATGAAATGCCCTCTTTTCCCACAGTATAGACATAGACCATGGGCTCTCCTGCGATCTTTTTCCTTTGGGGGCAATCTAGTTCTGGTGAAGCCAATCTCCATGGTTTCCTCCATGTCGACTGGAGTTTCACTGCTAGCGCGAGTGTAAACAGGGTTACAAGGCGGGTCCCTGAAAGTGGGTTCATGCTGCAACATGATGGGATTTTTGTATCCATAAAACAATTCCTCTTCTCTCGGCAACCGGGTTCTGCGAGAACCTAAAGTAGGCTTGGAAGTTGCTTTTCTCGCTGCAAAACACTGAGAATCCATTGCCGACATAAACAACTCCCAGGAGTCCAAGACAGTACTTCTCTCCTGCAACTTCTGGTGTGTCCACGCCTTAATCCGCCCGGTACATAGGTTAATAGCGGAGCGTACTTTGATAAAGTCGGTGGCGTAGGTTCTCGATTTCAGGGCAAATAGTAGCTCACAATCCGTCTTGAACATCGGAAAAGTAGAACGGGAACCGTCGAACCTGTCAGGCATAAAGACATACGGTTCTGGGCATACATGTTCCGGGACTGGAAGCGTTGCTCCTTTAAATGCCAATGAATGTCTCTGCAAATCTGTAACATTCTGGGACAGGTTGGAGACTTGCTCGGCCAGGGAGGTGAGTAATTTGTATAACTCTGCGGACTCCATTGGTCAGTTCATCTGTCAGGATCTTACCTGATAGGGAGTCCAGCTCGCAGAGTTATACGCTCACCCTTGCAAAGTAGACACAGACCAGGGTGACCAGGTAAGACGCCACCTGGCCTGTGAGTCTGTGCACGGGGGCTTTCCAGGAAAAGTGCTCCAAGTCTCAGTACAACAGGGATAAGCAGAAGCGTGGTCAAGGGAAGCCAAAATCAGGGAAGCCAGAGGTCAGAGTAGTCCAGGAGGAAAGCCAAGGTCAGAAGGAAAGACAAGAATCACTGGAACGCAGGTACAGAGTAACAGGAACCAAACAAGGGAACCAGAGTCAATGAACTGACACCCCTCCCAGGGTGAGGCAGGCTTTTATATCCTGTTAATTAGGTATCAGATTCAGCTGGAGAGTTACTGACAGATCTGAGCCTTTGGTGAAGTCCAGCCCCCTAGTGCTGCAGGCAATACAAGAATAAACAGGAGTTATCCAAAGTCCTGAAATGGCTCAGAGGGAAAATAGCAGGATACGGTCCAGAAGAACCACAGTTCAAATCCCCTATCGGGCGCTTCCGGAGCGACCACGTCTGGCAGACTGGATGTCACGGTGTGAACTGTGTCCCTATGTCTCCCAGAGACACTGGGAGACTAGGGACACTGAGACACTAGGGACACTGGGAGACAAGGACATACAGACACTAGAGACATGGGAACACTGAGAAACTAGGGACACTGGGAGAGATGGGGACACTGAGACACCAGGGACACTGGCTTGGAGACATGGGGACAATAAGACATTTGGGGCATTGTGTTCCTAGTGTCTGTGTCCCCATGTGTGTCTGTTTCCCCATGTCTCAGTGTACCCATATGTGTCTTTGTCCCCGTGTTTGTGTGTGTGTGGGTCCTTGTCTTAGTGTCCCCATGTCTCCCTGCAGCCTTTATCCCATCCTTCACATCTCTGAGCTGTAGGCTGTCTCTGCAGGCTGGGAGCTGCTGTCTGGACTCTTTGTGCTGTGTAGCTGCTCCCCCGCAGATCAGTTAGTAGAGCAATGCAGGTATATGCTGTAACTTCGTATCCCTGCCTCTCTCCACACACACAGCGACCCCTACTGGACGGTAATGGCATTGCAGAATAATATCTGTTTATACTGAGAAAAATACCGGCATTTGTATTGCCAGTATTACAGGAATATCGGCGCCAGGCAGCCTCAAATAAATAAATACCGGCCAGATGAACAACCCTAAGAGTAGTGTGTACTTTTTTTAAATCAATGGGCCTATTCCACGGGCCTGGAGCTGCAGCTCCATCAGCCCCTATGTTAATCCGGCCCTGCATAAGCCCAAATGCTGGTTTTAAAATGGCAAAATGTCCCAGGGGCCATAGTCACAGGGCAGGAGGCTGGCAAGCAGGCCTCTCCAGGACCTAGTGGTGAAGGACACTTCGTCACACCATTGCCTCCACTATGTTTTACAGATGATGTGGTATGTTTTAGATCATGAGCCGTTTAATGCCTCCTCCATATTATTTTCTTCACAACATTCTGGTACAGGCTGATCTTTGTCCAAGGAATGCTGCTCCAGAGCTAAGCTGGCTTTATAAGATCTTTTTTGGCTTTTCTGACCACAATTTGGATTCACAGCAACAGCTTCCAAATGCGAACGGCACACCTGGAATCAACTCCAGACATTTTTCCTTCTCAATTGATGAAAAAACTAAGCAATAGCCCACACCTGTCCATAAAATATCTTTTGAGTCAGTTGTCCAATTACTTTTGGTCCCTTGAAAAAGAAGGATCTGAATTCTAAAGAGCTGTAACTCCAAAATACTTCCTCCTATTTGCATGTGAATAACCTCAAATTAAGCTGAGAGACTTCACTTTAAAGGAATACTATGGGGTCAGGACCCGATAGTGTTAAAAACTCTATTTAGGAGGCCAGGCCCCATTTCCCCATGAAATATATTTTAAACTTACTATTATTCCAATGCCGCGTGGGTCCCAGGAAGCACCTCTAGTGGCCGCCACTAATAGTGTCTCTAGACAGCAATGTAAACACTATCTTTTCTCTGAACAGACAGTGTTTACAGCAGAAAACCTGCAGGGATTGACTATACTCAGCAGACCTACTACATTAAGCTGTAGTTATTCTGGTAACAAATGTGTCACTTTAAGCCCATATTCCTTATTATCTGGGTCCAAATATATTTCATCCAAATATATTTGATCCTGATGAAAGCCACGAACGATGACTGAAACGTCGATGATAACAGACATGTTTTAAGAATATTCAAATAAAGAAGAAATATTTTAATTTTACTACAGACCGTGAGTGCAAGCCTTATTTCCTATATATTTTCTGGGTCCAAATATATATATATATATATATATATATATATACATAGAGAGAGAGAGGGAGAGAGGAACACCCTAGTATGTGTCAAGTTTCAAGTGTTTATCCCAGATGGACATCCCCTAATGAAGAGTTCTCACTCAGCATTAATCTGACACTACTGTTTTTAGAAGCACACACATATACAGTTGTAATTACAATTATTCAACCCCCATTTAAAATCAGGTTTATTGTCAAAAGTTACAGTTTCAGCTGTTTGTAATGTACAAATAAAACAAAAGCGACTGAAATAGCTTAACACAATGAATGCATTAAGTGGTTTCTCCAAATTCACCTGAAAATGCAACTTATAAGATTTTTCCAGCGTCATAATTATTCAACCCCCTTCATGGCAAGCATATTTAGTACTTAGTAGAGCACCATTTTGCTGTTATGACCTGTTGTAAATGAGATGTATAGCTAGACACCAGCTTTTGGCAGTGTTCCTGAGGAATCATAGCCCATTGCTCATGAGCAGTGGTCTCCAGTTCAGTAATATTCTTCGGTTTGCGTGTTGAAACTGCCTTCTTCAAATCCCACCAGAGATTTTCTATGGTTTATCAAGTCAGGTGACTGATGGCCAATGTATACTTTTCCAGGACTTATTTTGCAACCAAGCTGTGACGGACCGCTGGCACTCCGACCGAGTACCTCCGCCAATCAATGCTCCAAGCACTTGCCGAGGACTCCGAGGACTCCAACACCATTAGCACTGCAGACCCCACTTCCAGTGATGCAGCTGCACCGGGGTCTCGCCGTCTCTCACCCACCCTGGATCCACGACCAGGATTCAGCTCCCAGTGGGTGCACCTCTCTCTAAATCCAGAGAGCGTAGCAGGAACAAATCAAGCTCTTACAAGAGCTTACCTTGGGGAGTAAGTGATTATAGCAATCCCCAGAGTGTAGGTATCCCTTCCCCCAAGCATGAGCCAAGGCTTCTAGAAAGGTGCAGGTAGGTCTGGTTTATTGAGGGCTAACTGCCCGGTATTAATGCAAGTGTCCACCAGGTGGACACTCCCTTAGGGGACCTGATGGAACAATGGGACACATATTGGATATTAGCCAATCACAGACAATACAAACAAAACACTCCCACAGTGATATCACAATCTCTCCTCTCTATCCTGGAGATAATTGGGAAGTAATCAAATTATCTCACAGGAAAGAGGCAAGACTCCATTAACCACATGGTTACAAAAAGGCTTAAAATTACACAATGTTACAATTACTACATAAAACATATACATGCAACATATCCCCAGATAGCTTAGAATTAGGCGCACATTATTACCAAATGGCGTTTAGATCACATACATACAGTTCAATCGCCATGGAGCAGTCTTTTGCATAGTCTTTCGTTACACGAATAGGCTCCATGGCATAGTTATCTGGGGTAGCACTACTCACATACTGAAAGTCCCGAACGCCCTGGCAGAAATACACAAATAAACCTTTCTGCAGGGTAAAATACAGCTATCAGCACAGG